TATATATATATATTTCCCAAGGCTTAGGCAGAGAAATCCTTGGAATGAAAAACTCCAAAATGTAGAAAGTCTGTTGACTGCACCTGGCAAGAGTAAACTTTAACATGGAAAATATTAAAGAAAAGTAATCCTTTCCTTATTAAAAAAAAATATATTAAACAAAACTATCATATGCCAAGGACTAAACTAAAGTCCTGAACATATGTATGGAATAACTAGCAATCATATCAAAGTGAATTTAGAATAAATTAAAATAGCTCCTCCTTGATTATTAAGGAACATACCTTTCAGGTAATCTTTCTTCTATTAACTTGCTTATCTCGACAGATAGGAGATCAACCAGAATTCGTGGGAGGCCTAACTTTATCAGTGGTGGTAGCAGTATCGTAGCCACATCTTGCTTACTTTCTGCTATTGCTAAGATAAGGCTAATGCTCTGTGGACAAGAGAATACTACGTCACATTAACATAATGCAAATGCTGAGCAATAACAGCCAAGGGGATGAAACAAAGATCATAAATTACTAATATAAAAGTATTTCAGAAGGGTAAAGGATGGTATTCAACAAAACTAATACATTAGGAACTTCAATCGACTCTATATATAGAACAAATTTTCCAGATACCATCATGCTACCATCCTTGATTGCACTTGATTCAACAGAAAGTCGCTACGCTCGTAAAGATAAAATACTTCTTCATATAACAAAAAGATTATCAATCTTTAACTATTTCTATAGAAGTAACTGGGTAGAAGCTCTATTATTCATGTCAGGGTTTGTTTATCAGAAAATAAAGATTATCTTTTTTTTTTTTTTGCAAGGGACCAATTAATTGGAATATAAACTATATTTCAAGTCTTGGGATTTCCAGGAGATCAGTAGTAATTCTCAGAACATATCACACTTGAAGATTAAGATGGCAATCGTGAAAAGGTAGATGAATGACTAAAATATAGACAATTCTGTTGATAGAGAATTATAGATCATCAGTAAACCTATCAGAATATTGCAGAACAGTAAGCCTATCAGAATATTACAGAACATCAATGAGTCTACCATATAAATTTGGTGTTGCCATTCAGAGCCTTTATCAACTATATATTTCTCCTGCCCCACTTCCATTTAGTGTCTGTAAATCCCAACAATTTAATGCCAATATTTCTTCTTCATATAGAATTTATATTCCAATTCCAAATAATTATGCCTTTCTACTGCTCACAAGTCTATCGCTGGCATCTATTCCATATAGTGGTGAAAGCCAGAGATAAATAAATGCAGTATATACTCATCCAATAAGGAGCACAACCAAGATTCAAAAAAGTCAGAGCAAGCTAGAGCAAATACAGGGAGAAGCTGCATGGAAAATTGAAGTCAGTATCATTGCTACCTTCTCCAGAAGCTGGAGGTTCAAAGTGTTCTCTATGATCCATAAAACACGACATAAAATATGTTCGGATTGCAGTGCTTCCACCAACAAAGCACTTTCTTCGCTTTGAAGAAATAAAGTTATTAGCCTGTGCAACAATGACAACTATAAGTAAAAGTTGATCAAGATAAAGCTAAGGCTATATGAAACTATGATACATCTCGTCACTTTTTCTCAGAAAAGAAAAATAACTTGCATGCATTACTATACTAAGACAATGATTTTTGTAAGCCAAGCGTACAGGACTTCCAAAACTACATATTATCGGTTGCAATTAAGGGAAAATGACTTCCATGCATTACTATACAAAACAGTGCTTTCAGGATAATGGCAACAAGCATAACAATGCTATTCTCTACGAAAGCACTCTAATATAAGTATTCCTGTCATTTGTGTTGGCCCCCTCACCCCCCCACTCCCCACCCCCCCACCCAAAAAAAAGAAAGCAAAACAACGTAGAGTAAATTATACCCCCCTGTAAAATTACTAGTATAACCAACAAAACAGAACAAAAGAAAAAACAATCGGGGCTGAAGCAGTTAGTAAATTCTGTCATAGATGAATATGTTACCGGCATGCTTCACAGAGACATGGTGCGTCATCTAGAAACAATTGTTCCAATACTGTTCCAATCAGACCATTTGTAGAAGTGATCTTTCTTCGTGAAACATCATGGCAAGCTAGGTTCCCAATTATACCAAGGCTAATTTCCTGTTTAAACGAATTGACTACATCAAATATATTTTCACCATCTCTCAATCTGAGCTATATGTAGTGATCAGAATAACCTAGATCATGAGGCAAAAATCCAAAACAGAAGGATCCAGCAGAGGAATAAAGTAAGACTTACAGTAATCCGTGCAGATTTTGACACCAT